ACTCGGTGTTACACCCGGGAAGACCTGGTATCTCCCACACCACCCCGTGTTGAATCCCAACAAGCCAGAAAAGGTTTTTGATTGTGCAGCCGAATATGAGTTGATGTCATTGAACAGCCAGGTGATGCAAGGGCCAGACCTTAACATCAGATTCAGACGAGAAAAGGTGGCACTCATGGCTGATATCGAGGCAATGTTCCACTAAGTGCGAGTAGTACCCGAACAAACATCGAGACGCCTTACGATTCTTATGGTGGACGGACGACCAGATGCCAGGGGCCCCACCACTTACCGAATGACACTACATCTCATTGGAGGTATGTGTAGCCCTTCATGTGCCGGGTATGCGCTACAACGAACAATTCAAGATTACAGGGAAAGTCTCCATGACGACATCAAGAAAGCGAGTTGTAACTTCTATGTCGATGATCTGCTTCTTTCAGTAGCATCACCAGGGAAGGCGGCGATAGTCACTCACCAATTGAGGCAGTTGAGGAAGAAAGGCGGGTTCAGACTTGTATGTATATTCTGTATTGTGTATGCTGTATTATATATTATGTATGTATATGATGTATGTGCTCCATTTATATATATTATTTATTCAGCCTAGCTAGCAGCGTGTGGCAATGTAATTACCATGTTCCACATGCTTAATTAATGTGCCTGGCGATGTATGGAAGCTGTTAATGTCTCACTTGCCATACGTCGTCTATAGAGCAGTTGACCAGCGGACAGGTTGAAGAGTGCTACTCCCCTTGTGTACATATCTCTTATCCAGTAAATCGAACCTACAAAATCTATACAGGTGTTTGTGTTCGCTCCTGTATATTGAACTTATTACCCAGAACATAACATGGCGCAGTGAACCGGTTTTACTGGATAATTACGAGTGACAGTGTAAAGTTTGTGGAAAGCCGGCTTACGGACTCCTTCCCTGTGTCAACCAACCGCCGCCAGCCACCCCTCCTCGAAGAATTTAGCAACTTTGAGCAGGGTCAGTGACAGTGATTTTCTGTGAAGTGATTAGTGCATTGTGTGTTTCGTGCCATACATGTGTGACCTTGTTCTAAAGGATTCCCAAGGTACACGGCATGTTCTGGGCATTTGTGGGGAGTAGAGTTCAGTGCACCCTCCTCTGACCGCGTCCATAGGGTAACTGGCGACTGACTGTGAGTCGCCTCCTCTCCCTCCCAGCAAGACGCTGACCGCGGCGATTTCCTTATATATATTTTATATATATAATCTACTTATCTGTGTATTTAATTAATTTTTTGTCTGAGATCTTGTTGATACGACGGGCTGACCGGTCAACACTGATTTAAGACACAGTACACAGATGAAGTAGTTATGTCTCGTGCCTTACGTAGCCGTGGAGCCGACGCCCGGATGAGTCAGTCGGATGATAGCTCCGTAGAGATGGATGACCAAGCTGACCATGACGCTCCAGCTCCCACAACATCGCGCAGCCCTTCACCTCGATATTCAGCGTTGTCTCCAGAGATAATTACTTTAATGAAGTTTATGAGAGATGAAAGGCGCAAGGATGAAGCTAACAGACGTGCGGAAGACGAACGCAGAAGGCAAGCAGAGGCAGAGAGAGACCACCAATGGAGATTGGAAGACAGTGCACTGTTTGAAGCCTTGATATCTCGCCTCACTGTTAACCAAGCCCCTGGCTCTAACACTGCCTCGGTACTGAATGGTTCAGATACCTCATCACTGCTCTCTTCACGCCCACCAGCCCCACCTAAAGCAGCTGCTCAAACACCGCCCATCTTGAAGCCTGATGTGACTTTCCAGACTTTTCGTGAATGGCGGCGACGGTGGACTGATTATGCTACAATGGTGGATCTCCAGAGTTTGTCACAGCCTAAACAACTCATCCAGCTGCTTATGTGCCTGTCCTTGGAAATTCAGCGTGTCTTAGAACATACATTGCAGGTGCCCCCAACCTCTTCGCTGTCTGTAGAGGAGGTACTGGACATTCTACAACGGCACATCAAAGGACAGCAGAATGAAGCTCTGCGCAGGAGGGAATTGTGTAGCTGCAGACAGATGGAGGGTGAGACTTTTGACGCCTTTTATGCACGTCTTAAGAGAGCCTCGGAAGAGGTAGATATATGTCCAGGTAACCACCAGCAGTGCGAGGAGACCCAGTTGAAGCAGGTGATCCTGATGGGTGTTAAGGATGAGGAACTTGTCCAACGCCTCACCTCCCTCGACTCTTCCTCTTCTCTTAAGGATGTTTTGACGATATGTCGCTCCTATGAGGCTGCCAGGTGTGCCACCTCTGCTATCCGAGCTCCCCCTACAGCTGTACGCGCTGTGTCCCGGTACAAGAAGGACAAAAAGTCTGCTCCAACGCCTTCGCCCACCACGTCCACGCCCGGTTCATTTTGTAACAACTGTGGTAAGCAGCACGGAACACAGTTGTGTCCAGCTGCTGAGTCTACCTGCAACAGTTGTGACCGTAAGGGCCACTGGTCACTCACAGTACAGTGCCTAGCTAAACGCGTCCAGTGCAATGTGTGCGGTCGTCTGGGCCACTATGACAAGTGTTGCCCTACCAACAAACCCAAGGGACAGCGTCGGCGGAAGCTTCAGCGCCCTTCCACTATTGAGGGCCGCCCACAGTCTTCCAATGAGAAGCATGACGACCCTGGACAACGCTCGAGCCATATTAGGAATGTGTGCTCCCCCTCGCGTCCCAGGACCAAAGTCCTCCAGTACATCAGCGTCATCGTGACCTACGGCGGTGTGTCATCCCGTCTTCAGATGTTGCCCGACACCGGCGCTGATGCTACAGTCATCGGTCCCCAGCATTTGCAATGCTTGGGGCTCTCTCCAAGTGATCTAGGACCGCCCCCCAAGGATCTCTGCTTTATGGCAGATGGTTCACAGATGACCCCGGCCCTAGGTTCACTCCAAGCATAAGTCACCTTTGGCAACAGGTCGTGTCAAGCCTGGATTGACGTACATAATGGTGTCCCGACTCCTTTGCTGTCCTACAGACATTGCCAAGAGTTGGCCATCATCTCCCAGGACTTCCCAACACCGATTCTCGAGGTAAAATACGCCAACAGGGTGCACGAAGGGAGCAGCACCTACCCTGCTGCCGCCCTACCCCTACCTCTGGCCAGTGACACCTCTCCTTCGGTAGTTGTCCCTGCTGCTTCAAGTCTCCACGCCTTGGCTCGCCTCCACGACAGTCACTGTGGAGCCGAGGCCACCAAACGGCGTGCAAGACAGACTGTGTTCCGGCCTGGCATCGACCCCGACATCACCAATGCTGTCCAGGTGTGTAAGCCCCGCCACGTACTACAACCCAGCCAGCAGCAGGAACCCTTTATGAGTGACGACAACCCCACCCGCCCCTTTGAGTCTGTGTCGGCCGACTTTTTCTCTGTGTCAGGAAAGTCCTTCCTTGTTATCGTCGACCGTCTCTCTGGTTGGCCGGTTGTCATCAAGTGCGGTAATGACACGACGTCTGCCGCCACCATCAGCAAGTTCCGCCACTACTTCCGTGACGTGGGCGTTCCTGTGCGCCTGCGAACCGACGGAGGGCCTCAGTTCACAAGCCGGGACTTTGCTGTGTTCCTTGACCGATGGGGAGTCCGGCATGTGTTGTCATCGCCCCATTACCCGCAGTCCAACGGCCACGCTGAGGCTGCTGTCAAATCCTTGAAGCACCTCATCCTTAAGGTGGCCCCTTCTGGGAATATCGACTGCGAGGCCTTCGACCGGGGTCTTCTTGAACTCCGCAACACACCTAACTACACCGGACGCTCCCCTGCCCAGGTTTTATATGGATGCCCCCTTCGTTCTTGTGTCCCTGCTCACCCTCAATCCTTCTCCAAGGAGTGGCAGGCCAAGACAGAGGATTGTGATCGCCGAGCCGCCGAACGTGTTCAGGACGCCGTCGCCCGCTACAACGACCACGCCCGTTCTCTCCCCAGGTTGAGTGTCGGCACCCAAGTCCGTGTTCAGGACCCGACCTCCCTACGTTGGGACAAAGTAGGCGTAGTCATGGGTCTCGGTAGGTCACGGGACTACCAGGTGCGGTTACCCAGTGGTCGTGTGTGGTGGAGGAACCGCCGTTTTCTCCACCCTGTAACAATGCCTTCTGCTGACCCCGCCACCAGTGTTGAGTCCCATACCCTTCCCAGTGATCTAGTCCCTCGAAGCTCAGAGCGGATCCAAAAGAAAAGGTCCGCTCAAGACTTTGCTATGAGCGTATAGGGGGGAGGGAGGTGTATGTATATTCTGTATTATGTATGCTGTATTATATATTATGTATGTATATGATGTATGTGCTCCATTTATATATATTATTTATTCAGCCTAGCTAGCAGCGTGTGGCAATGTTATTACCATGTCCCACATGCTTAATTAATGTGCCTGGCGACGTATGGAAGCTGTTAATGTCTCACTTGCCATACGTCGTCTATAGAGCAGTTGACCAGCGGACAGGTTGAAGAGCGCTACTCCCCTTGTGTACATATCTCTTATCCAGTAAATCGAACCTACAAAATCTATACAGGTGTTTGTGTTCGCTCCTGTATATTGAACTTATTACCCAGAACACGAATAAGACTTACAAAATGGATTTGCAACCACAAAGGGGTCCTCAGAGCAGTCCCACAAACGGAAAGAGCCATGGAAGTGAAAGAAGTACCTTTGAAGGGTGACAGGCTCCCAGCTGAGTGGGCATTGGGAATCATGTGGTATCTAGATAATTACGAACTTGCAGTCCGAATCCAGATCCCAACGAAGCCACAAATGAAGCGAGGACTCCTGAGTATGGTCAGCTCCATATACGACTCATTAGGAATCGTCGCTCCGAGCACCATACGAGCCAAAAACATATTCCCGGACGAGTGCAGGCGAGGCATCGGGTGGGATGAGCAAATGACCGAACACAACAGAGCCGCTTGGCGGTAGTGGCTAAATGATCTTCCCCACTTGTCTCAAGTACGTATCCCTCGATGTTACCACCCTGAATGCGCAAATCCAATAACTTCTGCGACGCCTCCCAGCAAGCATACGGGGCTGTGTCCTACCTCAGGATCACAAGTGGAGACGGAGCCCACTCTACCTCCTTTGTGTGTGGCAGAGCTAAGCTAGCTCCTCTGAAACAGCAAACCATACCTCGGCTCGAGCTATGTGCGGCAGTATTAGCGGCCAAAGCAGACAAACAACTGAGAGATGAACTAGAGTTGCAGATCGACAGATCAGTGTTCTGGACAGACAGCATGGTCACCCTTCAATACACACGAAACACTGAACGGCGTTTCCATACCTTCGTGGCAAACCGGATTGAAACGATACATGAGAATTCCTACGCAGAACAATGGCGACACGTAAGCTCCACCCAAAACCCGGCTGATGATGCTAGCCGTGGACTGCATGGGACAGAATTGAACAAGGACTGCAGATGGATTCAGGGACCCCCCTTTCTCCTGTTGGGAGAAAATAATTGTCCAAAGAATCCAAAGACGATTTCTAACCTTGCAGATGGAGACCCGGAGGTAAAAGGAGATGCAAATGTACTGGCAACGGGCACTGACCAGGGGGAGAGTACCCTAAAAGGGCTGTCGGCATGGTACTCCTCATGGCATCGGCTACTGAAAGGTGTGGCGTGGCTCAGGAGGTTCATACAGTGGCGCTTCAGTTATCCAAAAGAAGAACGTCACCAAAGGGATCGACTGAAGAATTGCGAGTTGGATGAGGCAAGATTAGCTGTCTTGCGACTGATACAAAGGGAGGGATTTCCCCACGAGATGGACGCGCTGGAACGAGGACACTCCATCAGGACTGGTGACGTAAGCAGACTGGAACCTTACCTGGCTGCAGACGGCCTGATCAGGAGGTACATTCGACCAGGGCTGGCCACTCAGGACGCGAGCACACTCTAGCTGTGCTACACGAGACATATTGGATACCCAAGTGCCGTAAGATGATCGACCGAGTACTACGTACGTGTGTAATTTGTCGAAGAAGCAATTGGAAGCCTGCCCACCAACGCCAAGCTGACCTGCCAGAGAACCGGGTACATCCAGAAGATCAGCCATTCACCTGCACCGGAGTCGACTGTTTTGGTCCCTTTATGATTAAACAAGGCCGGGTCCGGGCGAAAAGATGGGGATGCTTGTTTACATGTCTGGCCACCCGAGCTATACACCTGGAAGTCCTCACCTCACTGAACACAGACTCATTCATCAACGCCATGACGAGGTTTACATCCCGCAGAGGACCTCCCTAGCGCATCAGATCCGACAATGGAACCAACATGATTGGAGCGAACAGAGAACTTCGGGAGGCAGAGGCAAATAGAATGGGAGTTTCAACCCTCCGACTGCCTCTCATATGGGTGGAGTATGGGAGCGTCAGATCCGCACGGTGAAGAAGGTTCTCCAGGGGGTGATGGGCATCCCAGTATCCGACGACCCGAGAGACCTAGAAGCACTCACTCTGCTTCACCTACTGCGAATGCACGCAGGAACCCTGCCCACTGGAGGCAATCAGTCCATAGCAGAAGCGTACCGACGAAAATGGAAGCATGCTCAATTCATTGCAGACCAATTCTGGAAGAGGTGGGTTAAGGAATATATCCCGACACTCCGGCAGCGACAGAAGCACTTCCGGGCGCACTGCAACTTCTGCACTGGGGACATCGGCATCATATCTGGACATCCTCTCCCAAGGAGCCAATGGATGCTGGGAAGGGTATTGGAGGCGGTACCGGGTGATGACGGCCTGGTGCGGCGTGCCAAAGTAAAGACGAAGGACTCAGTGTTAATACGTTCAGTGACAAAGCTCTGCCTATTGGAGGGAGTCGGAGAGTGAGAGTCCCGGCAGACAATGGGTTTCGAGCAAGCTCAACAGGGGGAGTGTTACCGCCACAGTAGAATAAACTAGGAGGAGAGAGAGAGAGAGAGAGAGAGAGAGAGAGAGAGAGAGAGAGAGAGAGAGAGAGAGAGAGAGTGGAATAAAGAGAGAGAAGGGGGGGACAGGAGAGAGACAGAGGGAGTGTTGACAACGGACTTTGCTGAGGTGTTAAGTGAGAAACAGATGGCCCCTCGCCTCCGGCTGACTAGTTCGATCAGTCTCTAACTGTCCAGTGAGCCATCAAGCCAGGGAGTTAATAAGTCCTACATTAGACCCGAAACCCGTAAGTTATATATTGTTTAACACCATACTCTACTCAAATATATTATATGTAGTCGTTAATAGTGATGGAACATACGATTGAATTAATTATCTCATACGTAACATATGTAATTTGTACTCTGCAGGTTTGACAGAATAAAGAACAATCGAGTCCTACGTGCGAGGGTCTCATTATCCCACAGTCGCTCATTGGGCGGTTAAACTAAGATTTTCGAAACTATCTTGATCTCCCATTTTCTCCGTCACCTTCAACGCCTTTCTCTTTTGTCGGATCACCAGTATGGCTTTCGCCAAGCGAGATCTACTGGTGATCTGCTCTCCTACTGCACCCATCTTTGGTCATCCTCTCTTAGGGATTATGGGGAAACTTTCGTCGTGGCCCTCGACATCTCCAAAGCATTTGACAGGGTATGGCACAAGTCTTTGCTGTCTAAACTGCCCTCTTTTGGTTTCTCTCCCCCACTTTGTTTTCTCATCTCTAGCTTCCTTGAGAACCGATCCATGGCAGTTGTTGTCCAGGGATCGATCTCCCGCTCTTTCTCTACCAGTAGTGGTGTCCCACAGATTTCTGTTCTTTCACCTACTCTCTTCCTTCTTTTTATCAATGATTTACTTCACACTACAACTAATTCTATCCATTCTTACGCTGATGATTCTACTCTTCACTCTTCTTCACATTTTCCCCTTCCTCCTAACTCTCAAACTAGATCTGTTTCTAGAACTGATATCATTACTTCTATCAACGCGGATCTGCGCAGCATCTCTGAATGGGGAGGAAGAAACTTGGTTAAGTTCAATAGTAATAAAACTCAATATTCACCAATTGCATTTTGTAAATTAGACGATCTCCCACCAATTACATTTCAGGACACTATCATCCTGCCAAATTCAGAAATAAATATGTTAGGCTTCACCATTTCCTCCAATATGTCCTGGAAATCACACATCCTTAGTATAGCTAAAGCTGCCTCCCGAAAGTTGGGAATGCTGTACAGATGCCGTAGCTACTTCACTCCTGAGCAGTTGCTCCAAGTATATACGGGATTCATTCGTCCTAACTTGGAGTACTGCTCTCATATCTGGGGTGGCTCTTATGTCCAACTATTAGATAGGGTGGAATCAAAGGCATTTCGTCTCATTAACTCTTCTCCTTTAGTCGACAAATTCTCTTCCCTTTCTCTTGTTCTCTTGTTTCGCAATGTTGCTTCACTCTCTCTCTTTTACAGGTACTTTAACGGGCAATGTTCGGTGGATTTGGCATCCTGTGTACCGCCGGCAAGGCCGTGGGCTCGTAACACACGTCTTGCCCGCTGTGTCCACCGTTTCTCTGTGGATGTCGGTCACACGAGAAAATCCCGTTATAGTACCTCCTTCTTTCCTCACACAGCCAAACTGTGGAATGCTCTGCCTTCTTCTGTGTTTCCATACTTATACAATCTGTCTCACTTTAAAATGCTGGTTTTCCGGCATCTTCGTGGTGTAGATTAACACAATATAACCTTTTTGTTCTCTAATTTCAATTTCTTTCTGTTCTTTTTTTTTCGCCCCCAGGCACCGTTGTGGGTCGTTTGACCTATGCCCGGGTGGGTTAATTCCGGTAAAAAAAAGAAAGAAAAAAAGTCACTCCCCTCTTCTGGTTTGACACAAGCGGGTAGTGCCCCTGTGAGCTCCCCCCTGCTCATGGCCTGTGTGTACTGTTGCCCCCGAGCCAAGCCCTGCCTCATCTTCACGTCACGTGGTGCCTCAACCTGTCTACCCACCGCAAGCCACGCCAGCTCCTGTGTCTGTGCTGTCTCCACCAGGGATACCTATTGGACCTGAGGACTCCACCCCCGGCTACCCATACTCCACCGACTTGCCAGCACCTAAGGCCCATCCATCCACGTCAGGGGTACACATGTACCCAACCAGCCCGCCTGTAATCAGTCGAATACACCACAATAGATAGCAACGCTACAGGACTGCAGGTACTCACCTGGAACATATGCCGCTTGCAAATCAAGTTTGGTGCCCTCAAAACCAACGCCTACACTGAAGATGTCGACGTGCTGTGCCTCCAAGAAACGCGGTGTGCTGCTGGTACCTATGTGCTCAGTGGCTACACATATGTTGAGAGCCCATCCACCCCTGTGCTTTGCATCGATGAACTACCACGAGGCCATGCACGTGGACTGCGGATCTACGTCAAGAAGGATGTCCCCTACCAATCTCTCGACGTCCTCCTTGACGCCGACACCACCGACGCACACGCCCTCACAATCACACAAAAAGGTATGTCCCTCAATATTGTCAATGTCTATGTGCCTCCCTCCACCCCTACTGTACCTGTCCTACCACACCATATCACCTCCACCCCCACCCTCCTTGTGGACGACCTCAATGCCCGACACCCCAGTCTCGGCTCCCACGGGCCCCACTCAAACTCCCGGGGTAACTCTTGTCTCTCCTATTTACAAACCACTGATGACCCTGTACGTCTTCTGCCTCCACTACCCCCCCACATCGAGGTAGGGAAACTTGACTACATCGCCTTTGCTTCTGACCTCACCGCCCACACTCCACCTGCATCCTCTACCCCCCAGTGACCATTTCCCTATCCACACTACCCTTCAGTACGTGAGAATACCCGCCCCACCCAAGGGCCCTAGGCTCAGCCTACCCCCTGCCAACATTCCTGCCTTCATCACTGCCATTGTTGAATGGTTTCAGGGTTACACTGTCACCACCGCAGACCAACTCTACCTTGATATGTCCAAACAATGTACTGACCTCCTCCGCCCTGACCCAAAACACTGCCGCCCTAACTGACCAGTGGACGAAATCTCCCAGCTCCCCTGACGCTCTACACTTCCTGATGCGCACAAATAAAGAGCTGCAATCTGCCATCACTCTCGCACGAGAGAAGCAGTGGTTTGAGTTTGCTTCTTCTATTGACCATTCTACATCTATAGGTGATATATGGCGCACCATTAACCGTGCCCGGGGCACCAACGCCAGACCCGCGCTCCACCCAGAGCAGCTGCCCTAGCCGAGGCGCCCTCCCAGACGTGGCAGGAGGCCGCCTTGATGAACTCCGGGGCCAGACACACGGCACTCAGCCTTCCCTGAAATCATATGGGAGGATCTGAGAGTGGACAGCCCACTGTCCAAACCAATCACCTCGGAAGAACTCAACACAGCCATCTCCAATACCAAAAATATAGCCCATGGTTATTCAGGCATCACCAAGGAGATCCTCAGCCACATAAACAACCCGGCCATGGAGAGACTAAGAACCACAATGAACGCTTGCCTGGCCTCTGGTTACTTCCCAACTAAATTCAAAGAGGCCATTATTACCCTAACACCAAAACAAGGAAAGAACCCCACCGTTCCACTAAACTACAGACCGATCTCCCTCTTCGAAGTACCTGGAAAAATCCTAGAAAAAATCACCAATAACCGTCTGAGAAATCACCTGGAAACAACAAACAGAGTCAACTGCAGACAATTTGGGTTCAGGAAAGGAAAGTCCACCACAACAGCGATAGCCCTGGCATGTGAAAGCATAGCCAGATCCGCGGCGAGTGGTAGACAATGTAATCTAACTCTCCGGGATGTAGCAAAGGCATTTGACAAAGTCTGGCAATACGGTCTAAAATATAAGATCCTCCAACTCGGACTTCCCACCAACATTGAAAAGTTGCTGTGCAACTTTCTTGAAGGCAGAAAGGCCAGACTGAGGGTAGGACAACACACAGGAGAG